TTGAAATAAAACAATAAGCTAAATTAAGAAAAAAAAAAAAATACACTTATATAATAAAAAAGAAAGAGATTACTAAATCAAATATAAATCTAATAAACAAATTAAAAGAGCTATCTATATTCTTTTAAATTCAATTTTATAAGTAAAAATATTGCAATTCAAAACAAATAAACTGAAGTTACCTAAGATAAAGTGTCAAATTTGAGAGATTAGCGCAATTTGCTAAAACAGAACCTAAACCTGATGCACCTTCATCACCAATTTAATTTCCACTTTTTTAATATTGAAAAAAAAATAATTAATTAATTAATTAACTTTTTAGAAGGAAAAAATGGAGAAAAATATGTAATAATAATAATAATAAGAAATGAATTAATTAATTAATTAATTAACTTTTTAGAAGGAAAAAATGGAGAAAAATATGTAATAATAATAATAATAATAAGAAATGAATTAATTAATTAATTAATTAATTAATTAATAAATAATAAAAGCAAATGTTGAAAATAAAAAAAGGAGTTAAATTAAGAAGGATAGAAATAAATAATAAACACAAGTATAGTAAAAAAGTAAATCAAATAAAAAACTAATAAAAAAATTAAAAGAATATATTGTTTTAAATTCAATTTTTTGAGTAAAAATATCACAAACCAAAGCAAATAAACTGTTTTTACTCAAGAATAAGTGTCAAATTTTAGAGATTAGTGCAATCTGCTAAAGCAGAACCTAAGCCTAATGCACCTTAATCATCAATTTAATTTCTACTTTTTAAATATTCAAGAAAAAATAAAAAATTAATTCGTTATTTAGAAGGAAAAAATAAAGAAAAAATATCAAATAATAATAATAAAAAAATCATTAATAAATAATAAAAGCAAATATTGAATGAAATAAAACAATAAGCTAAATTAAGAAAAATAAACACAAATATAATAAAAAAGAAAAAGAAAAGTGAATCAAATAAAAATCTTATAAACAAATTAAAGAGCTATATTCTTTTAAATTCAATTTTATCTATCAATAAAAATATCTCAATTCAAAACAAATAAACTGAATTTACCTAAGATAAAGTGTCAAATTTGAGAGATGTGCACAATTTGCTAAAGCTTTACCTAAGCCTAATGCGACAATTACACCAATTTAATTCCTACATTTTAAATATTGAAGAAAAAATATATAATTAACTAACAAACTATTTAGAAGAAAAAAATGAAGAAATAATATGAAATAATAATAAGAAATGAATTAATAAATAATTAAAGCTAATATTGAAAATAAAAAATGAGCGAAATTAAGAAAGATATAACAAAAATAAAAACAAAAAGAAAATTAAATTAAATAAAAAAAAGCTAATAAACAAATTAAAAGAGTTATTTTGTTTCATAATTTAAAATATCGCAATCCACAACAAATAAACTAAATTTACCCAAGATTAAGTGTTAAGTTTGAGATATTAGTGCAATTTGCTAAAGCTTAACCTAAACCAGATGCACCTTAATCACCAATTTAATTACCACTTTTTAAATTTTGAAGAAAAAATATATCATTAATTAAATATTTAGAAGGAAAAAATGAAGAAAAAATGAATTAATAAATAATAAAAGCAAATGTTAAAAATAAAAAATAAGTTAAATTAAGAAAAATAAATACAACTATAATAAAAAAGAAAAAGAAAATATTTTAAAATAAATTTTTTTATTAAAAATATCATAATCAAAAACAAACAAATAAACAGTTTTTACTAAAGATAAAGTGTCAAATTTGAGAGGTTAGTGCAATTTGCTAAAGCAAAACCTAAACCTGATATACCTTAATCACCAATTTAATTATCACTTTTTAAATATTGAAGAAAAAATAAATAACTAAATAGTTATTTAGAAGGAAAAAATGATGAAAAAATAATAAGAAATGAATTAATAATTAATAAAAGAAAATGTTAAAAATAAAAAAATGAGTTAAATTAAGAAATATAGAAGAAAATAAACTCAAGTATCTTAAAAAACAAAAAGAAAACTATATCAAATAAAATTTTAATAAATAAATTAAAAGAGTTATTTTGTATTAAATTCAATTTCATAATTTAAAATATCACAATACAAATAAACTGAATTTACCCAAGATTTAGTGTCAATTTTGAGATATTAGTGCAATTTGCTAAAGCTTAACCTAAACCAGATGCACCTTAATCACCAATTTAAGAAGGGCTAAGCGGCTCGAGTGGGTGAGTCGGAGGGTCTTAGCAGTGATATCGGGGGTTCGAATCCTATACCGCCCCCTTTATTTCGAAAAATTCCATGTAAAAATGTGAATGTTACCAGCGGTCTCCTTGGTAGGAGGGAAGGGCCAAATCTGATAGGTGGTAAAGAGGAGGCCCCATTCTGAACAGAAGATCTGGAATACAAATGGGAAGCGAGCATAATGCGTAGTCAAATCATGGAAGATTAGTAGAAATGCCATTAGGGTGTAGGTGACCCTTCCCTTCTAGTATATTACCCACAATTATATATAAATAAATTGGTATACGTATAATAATAATGTATAAGTAATTATATATAGGGCCCCTATCCCGAGTGCATGTCACCATGTGCGAGTATGTATGTATGTATGTATATGTATCACCAATTTAATTACCACTTTTTAAATTTTGAAGAAAAAATATATCATTAATTAAATATTTAGAAGGAAAAAATGAAGAAAAAATGAATTAATAAATAATAAAAGCAAATGTTAAAAATAAAAAATAAGTTAAATTAAGAAAAATAAATACAACTATAATAAAAAAGAAAAAGAAAATATTTTAAAATAAATTTTTTTATTAAAAATATCATAATCAAAAACAAACAAATAAACAGTTTTTACTAAAGATAAAGTGTCAAATTTGAGAGGTTAGTGCAATTTGCTAAAGCAAAACCTAAACCTGATATACCTTAATCACCAATTTAATTAACACTTTTTAAATATTGAAGAAAAAATAAATAATTAAATAGTTATTTAGAAGGAAAAAATGATGAAAAAATAATAAGAAATGAATTAAAAATTAATAAAAGAAAATGTTAAAAATAAAAAAATGAGTTAAATTAAGAAATATAGAAGAAAATAAACTCAAGTATCTTAAAAAACAAAAAGAAAACTATATCAAATAAAATTTTAATAAATAAATTAAAAGAGTTATTTTGTTTTAAATTCAATTTCATAATTTAAAATATCACAATACAAAACAAATAACTGAATTTACCCAAGATTTAGTGTCAATTTTGAGAGATTAGTGCAATTTGCTAAAGCTTAACCTAAACCAGATGCACCTTAATCACCAATTTAAAGAAAAAACAAAAATAATAATGTAAACTATTACAAATATATTTAAAATAAGATGTATTATGAGTGCATATCTATGTGCGAGTATTTCAATTCAATTCAATCACCAATTTAATTACCACTTTTTAATTTGGAAGAAAAAATATATCATTAATTAAATATTTAGAAGGAAAAAATGAAGAAAAAATGAATTAATAAATAATAAAAGCAAATGTTAAAAATAAAAAATAAGTTAAATTAAGAAAAATAAATACAACTATAATAAAAAAGAAAAAGAAAATATTTTAAAATAAATTTTTTTATTAAAAATATCATAATTAAAAACAAACAAATAAACAGTTTTTACTAAAGTTAAAGTGTCAAATTTGAGAGATTAGTGCAATTTGCTAAAGCAAAACCTAAACCTGATATACCTTAATCACCAATTTAATTATCACTTTTTAAATATTGAAGAAAAAATAAATAACTAAATAGTTATTTAGAAGGAAAAAATGATGAAAAAATAATAAGAAATGAATTAATAATTAATAAAAGAAAATGTTAAAAATAAAAAAATGAGTTAAATTAAGAAATATAGAAGAAAAATAAACTCAAGTATCTTAAAAAACAAAAAGAAAACTATATCAAATAAAAATTTAATAAATAAATTAAAAGAGTTATTTTGTTTTAAATTCAATTTCATAATTTAAAATATCACAATACAAAACAAATAAACTGAATTTACCTAAGATTTAGTGTCAATTTTGAGAGATTAGTGCAATTTGCTAAAGCAGAACCTAATTCTGATGTACCTTAATCATCAATTTAATTTCTAATTATTAAATATTGAAAAATATATTTATAATTAATAAGTTATTTAAAAGGAAGAAATGAAATAATAAGAAATTAATTAATTAATAAATAATAAAAGCAAATGATTGATGAAAATAAAAAATGATTTAAATTAAGAAAGATAGAAGAAAAATAAACATAAGTACAAAAAAAAAAAGAAAACTAAATCAATATTAAAAGATATTTATTCTTTTAAATTTTATAAGTAAAAAATCACAATCCAAAACTACCAAACTATTTTTATCAAATAAATGTTTTAGAAGGAAAAAATGAATAAAAAATATCAAATAATAAAAAATGTATATTAAAATTAAGTTAAAATAACTAAAAACATTTGTAAATAAAATATAAAATTTGGTGATAATTTCTATTAATAAAATTAAATTTTAAATAAACTGAAAGTTAATATATAGAAAATATTAATAATAAAATTTAAAAATTAAATATACCTCTACAGATTAATATTGAGAACCTAATGAGATTAAAGTGAAGAGTTTAAAAACTTTTTATATTAGCAAAAATAAATTTAAAGTAAATTGATAAAAAAATAAATATTTACTTCTTCTAATCCTTTGTATTATTTAATCTATTATATCATTTATTTTTTTTTTCAAAAATATTGAATAGCAATTTATGAAAATTTAATTAATTAATTAATTATAAGTAGATAAAAAGAACAATAAATTATATGAATTTATAAATTTGCTTTTAGTTAGAGAAGTCGCAAAAAACTTAGTGTAACATTTGTTATTAAATCTTAATATTTTTATTTAAAATACATACTTAAAAATATAGTAGAAACTAGAGATTGGATATAAAGGATAATGATAATGTGAACTCACTAGAATCAAATAAATCTTTAGCGTATTTATGCATAATTTATATCAAAAAAAAAAATTAATGATTAACTCCAAAAACATAGATCATTTTCAGCATCCATTTTTACATCTTGATTTTTTTTGCTAATATGTACATATTTATTTCAAAAGTACCCATAGATAAAGCAAAACCTCCAAACCTCCAATTTGCATTTTTCTAGAATATTTAAGAATATTTAGAGAACATTTTATAATAAAAATCAAACAAATAAGCATTTTAAAATTTATAATACCACATTAAAAAAAAATTACATAAATTCTTAATATGAAATAAGCTTATGAAAAGCCAAATTCAACATTAACGACTTTCAAATTCATTAATTTATTCTAAACATAAATTTGTATTGTCTGAATAAATAAATGATAATTTAAAAAACAATTATTTTATGATTTTAAAAAATATAAAATGAAAAAAATGATCATAAGATAAATTAAAATTTTGAGAAAAAAAAACAAAACATTAATACAACAAAACTTAAAATAAAAAGTAAAACTTGATATTTCCCTGAGGTTTTATTTAAATCATGGCATCTAATTAATCATGATAAATAAAAAAAGATAGAAATATGATTGATGGATAATATTTAAGATTAAAATATAACTGGCATATAAAAGTTTGGCATTTATATAATTTAATAAAATGTAATATAACACTAAAAGTTTCAAATTATTTGATCATTTTTAGAGAAACCAGAGGGTTTGCTTATGAGGATATAATTTATTTAAGTAAAATAATTTTTTTATTTTTTATAAATAATTTATTTACTTACAAAAATATGAATGATATTTATAAATATAAAATCAATAATAAAATCTATATATCTATCTATTTATATTTTAGGTTAAAAACACTTTTTCAAAATATTATATAATAAAATATATAATACTATTCAAACATTTTATACTTATTCATCCTTTTTTCACCAATTTTTTATCATCAGAAATCAAAGACAACTAATCTTTTTGATTTAAGAAACTTGCTTAATACTTTGAATTTTTATGATTTATTCATTGAGCTAAAACTTTTATAATAAATTAGTGTAAATTTTTAAATAAATATAAAAATAGAATAAACTTTTAAATTAAAAATTATTCTTTAAATTAATAAATAAAATAATTTTAGTGGAATAAAAAAGATAAAAAAATAAAATAAATAAAGCTATCAAATAAATTCATAGAGCTTTTTTGTTTTATATTAATCTTTATAGTTTAAAATATCACAATCCAAAACAAATAAACTGTTTTTACCTAAGATCAAGTGTCAAATTTGAGAGATTAATGCAATTTGCTAAAGCAGAACCTAAGCCTGATGCACCTTCATCACCAATTTTTTTATCCCTTTTTAAATATTGAAGAAAAAATATATCATTAAATAGTTAATTAGAAGGAAAAAATGAAGAAAAAATATGAAATAATAAGAAATAAATAATAAAAGCAAAAGTAGAAAATAAAATGATGAGCTAAATTAACAAAGAAAGAACAAAAAAAAGCAAGCACAATAAAAAAAAAGAAAAAAGAGCTTTATTGTTTTTAATTAGTTTTTATAATTAAAATTATCACAATCCAAAACAAATAAACTGTTTTTACCGAAGATTAAGTGTCAAATTTGAGAGATTAATGCAATTTGCTAACGCAGAACCTAAGCCTGATGCACCTTCATCACCAATTTAATTGTAACTTTTTAAATATTGAAGAAAAAATATATCATTAAATAGTTAATTAAAAGGAAAAAATGAAGAAAAAATATGAAATAATATGAAATAATAAGAAATAAATAATAAAAGCAAAAGTTGAAAATAAAATGATGAGCTAAATTAACAAAGAAAGAACAAAAAAAAGCAAGCACAATAAAAAAAAAGAAAAAAGAGCTTTATTGTTTTTAATTAGTTTTTATAATTAAAATTATCACAATCCAAAACAAATAAACTGTTTTTACCGAAGATTAAGTGTCAAATTTGAGAGATTAATGCAATTTGCTAACGCAGAACCTAAGCCTGATGCACCTTCATCACCAATTTAATTGTAACTTTTTAAATATTGAAGAAAAAATATATCATTAAATAGTTAATTAAAAGGAAAAAATGAAGAAAAAATATGAAATAATATGAAATAATAAGAAATAAATAATAAAAGCAAAAGTTGAAAATAAAATGATGAGCTAAATTAACAAAGAAAGAACAAAAAAAAGCAAGCACAATAAAAAAAAAGAAAAAAGAGCTTTATTGTTTTTAATTAGTTTTTATAATTAAAAATATCACAATCCAAAACAAATAAACTGTTTTTACCTAAGATTAAGTGTCAAATTTGAGAGATTAATGCAATTTGCTAAAGCAGAACCTAAGTCTGATGCACCTTCATCACCAATTTAATTTTCACTTTTTAAATATTGAAGAAAAAGTATATCATTAAATAGTTAATTAGAAGGAAAAAATGAAGAAAAAATATGAAATAATAAGAAATAAATAATAAAAGCAAAAGTTGAAAATAAAATGATGAGCTAAATTAATAAAGAAAGAACAAAAAAAAGCAAGCACAATAAAAAAAAAGAAAAAAGAGCTTTATTGTTTTTAATTAGTTTTTATAATTAAAATTATCACAATCCAAAACAAATAAACTGTTTTTACTAAAGTTAGAGTGTCAAATTTGAGAGATTAATGCAATTTGCTAAAGCAGAACCTAAGCCTGATGCACCTTCATCACCAATTTAATTGTTACTTTTTAAATATTGAAGAAAAAATATATCATTAAATAGTTAATTAGAAGGAAAAAATGAAGAAAAAATATGAAATAATAAGAAATAAATAATAAAAGCAAAAGTTGAAAATAAAATGATGAGCTAAATTAACAAAGAAAGAACAAAAAAAAGCAAGCACAATAAAAAAAAAGAAAAAAGAGCTTTATTGTTTTTAATTAGTTTTTATAATTAAAATTATCACAATCCAAAACAAATAAACTGTTTTTACCTGAAGATCAAGTGTCAAATTTGAGAGATTAATGCAATTTGCTAAAGCAGAACCTAAGCCTGATGCACCCATCGCACCAATTTAATTGTAACTTTTTAAATATTGAAGAAAAAATATATCATTAAATAGTTAATTAAAAGGAAAAAATGAAGAAAAAATATGAAATAATAAGAAATAAATAATAAAAGCAAAAGTAGAAAATAAAATGATGAGCTAAATTAACAAAGAAAGAACAAAAAAAAGCAAGCACAATAAAAAAAAAAGAAAAAAGAGCTTTATTGTTTTTAATTAGTTTTTATAATTAAAATTATCACAATCCAAAACAAATAAACTGTTTT